AAGAGAAGAAGAAGAAGAAGAAGAAGAAGAAGAAGAAGAAGAAGAAGAAGAAGAAGAAGAAGAAGAAGAAGAAGAAGAAGAAGAAGAAGAAATCAAACGCTTCCATTGCCCGTTATTCCGTTATGATGCAAACCCATCTGAACCCGCATATCATCATGACTCTGTGTGTGTGTGTGTTGTGGTGGCGTTGAGTGTAAATTTTTCCGTCGAAATTTTTTTCTCCCTCTTTCTTTTCGAGGGTGGTTTTTTTTTTATAGAAAAAAAAGGAGAAGCAGTTGTTGAGGAGGAGATTCAGATGGTCGCCAGTCCGACAATGACAAACCCTAGCAGGCCAGCCATGGAGCCCTGCATGGGACGAGCGACAGCGCCGGCAGTAGGATCGGGAGAGCCAGAGCCAGGATCCGTGACGGAGGGATCGGACGATATCGAGGTGTTGTCGATGGAGGGGGAGACTATACGATGGACTGTCAATACGGAGAGCGTCACAGACCCACGATGGGAAGTGTAAGAGAGAGACAAGGAGAGCAGCGTACCGGGGGTGGAGAGGTCATGAGGAGAGGTGGTAGAGGACCATAGGGTGGCATTGCCGACGGCGGTGTCGAGTGCTGCGGCGACGACGCCGACGGCAGAGAAGAGGTAAGATATGCGCATTGTGCGGTGTTGTGTTGTTGTGTGTTGTTGTGTGTTTGTGTGTCTATGTCGTTGCGGCGGTGGTTGTTGTGATGTAGTAGGTTGTTGATGTTGGACAGGTATTGGTGGTAGTGGTGATGAAGTATGCGAAAGCGTCTCCGATATATATATGATCTAAATATACATATACATACATGTATATACATGTATATATATATATATATGTGTGTGTGTGTGTGTGTGTGTGTGTGTGTGTGTGTGTGTGTTAGTGTGTGTGTGTGTTTATTTATGTATAAACCCAAGGTGTAAGAGAAAGTAAAAAATAAGAATAAAAAAGAGTCCCAATGCGGCGTAATCGTAAACCTCCCCTCTCTTCTCCCGGGAGAGTGCAAGGTTTGACGTCCAATTCGTGTGTGTCGGAGGGAGTACGTTTTGTCAGGAACCACCTAGACGGCGTGAGATGAGAAGGATAAATAAAGGACTGGATTGTGTATTGATTTTGAGATAGATCAATATACATGTACGGAGCATTATATCACCTGAGAGGAGAGAGAGAGAGAGGGGGGGGGGAGAGGATAGTAAAAAAAATAAAAAATAAAAAAATAAGAAGAGGTGATGTGAGTATTTGGAAAAGGTAGAAGGGGGGGGGGGGGGGGGGGGGGGGGGGGGGGGGGAGTGGGACAGGAAAGAAAAGTGGACCAGTGTGGGATCGTCAGGCCAGTAGGAAAGAAGAAAAAGTACGGAGTAGTATGATGGTAAAGGATATGACGTACATGGATTGAAGAAAGATACGGGTTGGAAAGGAATTGTAAAGGTAGAGATTTTTTTTATTTCAAATCTCTCTCCCTCTCCAGAAGAAGAAAAAGAGAGAGAGAGAAGAGTGAGCTGAGGAGGATCGGGTACGAAGTCGAGTCCTGACATGTACGAGGTGGATAGCTCTGCTACACTACGAGAAACGGAAGGCGTCATGCTACCCGTATCACGACGTGACGACTTCCCTCCCTTCTCCTCCCTCTCTCCGGTCTGCAGAGCTTACAAGGTTACATGAGGGAGAGGGGGGGGGTTGAGGAGGTTGGCGATGGAGAGAAAGACCGGGGAGGTGTTGGGGTGGTGGTTGGGTGGTGCACCGGGTGGTAGCTCGTCGGGTGGGTGGGAATCCATTCACCACTGGTATACGAGCATCCTCGTAGATTCTTACGGGGGTATGCTCGTATCGCACTCCGGACAAGTGACCTCGTAACCCTTGCGGAGCGGGATTAAAACCATCACATCCATCATGTACGGCAGCAGTCGGTGGGAAGGGGGGCAGGGGAGGGGCAGGGGAAAAGGGCCGGTCAAGGTCAAGGTCAAGCAGCAAGTGACATCGATCCTCTTCGACCTCTTGCCAGTTCGTCCCACTTTTTGTCTATCTATTTTATTTATCTATTTTATTTATCTATTTATTTTTTGGTGAGGGGAAGGAGGGTGGGTGTCAGATGTCAACTTCCAAGTTTGGTGCGTGTCGGATGGATGCAAACGTAACGTCTCGTGTGTTGCGTACAATACAACACTATCATTACTTATCATCACCTGTATTGACCCCTACAGAGAGTGCAGATTATAGAGGGTGTTTCTTTCTTCTCTTCTCTCTCCTTTCTCTCTTCCCCTTCTTTCTTTCCTTCTTTTTTTGGTACTCTTGTGGTTTCTGTGTGTGTCCTGTCCGAAGCTTGTACCTGACATCTCCGAGCGTTTCAGCAGTATTTGCTACGAGGAGTCATCTGTGCTCGTAGGTAACCACGGTACGGATGGCCAGGTTGTTCGATATACAATGATACCATAGTAATGTATATACAGGGTTTTATACATGGATATATACATGGATATATATATATATATATATGGATATGCAGATTATACTGTACGATATATATATCGGATCAGTTCTCTCTCAGGACAGCACTTCCCTCCCTCTCGTGGTTGCGACATTATTGTGGCGGTGGCTGTGACTTGTGGCTGTTTGCTTCGTTGGTATAAAGCCACAGATACCTTACCTGGTTGCATGCAGAAGCGGCAGGATCTCAGCCAAAAAAAAAAAAAAAAAAAAAAAAAAAAAAAAAAAAAAAAAAGAGAAAGCTCGCATCGGTCGATCAAGACAGGAAGTGCATGATACCGAAGTACGGACGAGCTTGCGCTGCCAGTGTGACATTGCTCATCCCGCAGAAACCCGTCAACGTGTCGTGGTCGTACGAGTAGCGACCAGACTTGCCTACATGTTTGCCTATAGGTTCTCGTGCATGTACTCGGTATATGTACTCGGTATATGCTACATGTACTCGTGCAGACTACAGCCTAGCGGTAGGTGATACCGCCAGCAGCCATTCAGTAATGCTAGGGGAGGCGGTATCCAGTTCCGGCTGCTAGTATCACGTATCACCCGCCAGCAGTACCACTCCCAAACAGAATGAGCAGACATGCCAAGTTTCAGACAGAAGGAGAAGAAGAAGGAGGAGAAGAGAATCGGTAAGATTGTCGTCATCGCCTCCAGGGCTGTATATCATGTACTGCGGAGTAACACCCCTAGCACCAACACAACTCTTCCGTCATGGGCTGAACCGAACCCGGCATATTCAATGCATAATTCGTATGCATGCGTCCCGCCACATCCTCACACGCCACACGGCAACCCTCCCATCCTCACCCACACGGTCCACGGTCCGCACCACACGCAATGTCAACACATGAACCTCTTTTCTCTTCTCTTCTTTTCTTATTTATTTATCTCAATCCCCTCTTTCTTCCCTATTCTTAGCTCCCACCAACTCCTTTGCATCCATCTTCCTCCGTCTCTTCTTCTTTCATCTCCTTCTTTCCATCTTTCCCTTTCTCTTCTTCTTCTTCTTCTTCTTCTTGATTCATGTATTCTCTCTTTCCCAACATCTTCCCTCCTCCTTGTGCATTTGATTTTTTTTTTTTTTTAAAAAAAAAAAAAGAAACTTCAAGATTTTCAAACTCTCACATAATAATACTAACCGTAAAATGTAGTGAGACTCATGACATCATCGCTTCCAGCATCTAGACTTACCCATCCCATCACGGACTTGCATTAGTGTCACACACTCACCACACACACACACTCGACTCTAGGCTTCGAAATCGAAACGCCAGATGACCGCCAGGGTCGGTGCACAGCCACGAGTAACAGAGCCACAACACAACCTCCACCGGAAACCAAGTCTCTCGACTGTCTGCGTGTCCTTTTGCCAGTAAAAAGAAAGAAAAAAAATCGAGAAGATCGAAAGAGAAAAACACCGATGAGACGCCTCAGCCGAATTGTGCGACGTTTATCCCTCCGCATCGAGGACACCCGCATCAAAGGAAACCAAACCCCCTCCCCCCAACACACCAATGAGTTTTACATGTATTACGTGGACTCTGCATACATCGTGGTGGCTAGTCACCCCAGGGTAGTAAGTAGTGATAGTAATGATCTTCACCAGCACTGCACTGCTCCTTCTTATGCATCGACTGCTGCAACTCTACCTCGCTACTTGTAATCTGTGCTTGTGCAATCTGTACAGATCACTACTACTCATCATCATCAATAGTTAGTACCCACAAGAACTCTACGAGTAACAGGTCACGTACTGTCCCGCATTCTATCCGTACGACTCTGCCATCCATGCTTCCATGGTTGCCCCGGCATACAGATGCCGTTGCGCGGAGACGCACCTGACCGTGACACACACATCATCTCCATCATAGATTGTTTGAATTATCGAGTGGAACCAACGGCAATCAATTATCTCGAATTTCCAACTTTGCATTTTCTTCTTCTTCTCCCCCTTCCTCTTCATTCTAGACTTCATTGTAGACATCGCTTTTTTTCTTCATTCTTCTTTTCTCTTCTTTTTGTTTTTTTTTGTTTTTTTTTGTTTTTTTGTTTTTTTTTTGCGTGGATAGGAGATACTTACTCAGCTACATTCTCAAAGAAAAACGTAGGCCATCCAGGCTGAGCGCCCTCGGCTATGGGCACCGTGATATCCACCTCCTTCCCCGTAGCCAGGTCGACACCCTTCTTACCGCCCTCCTCCACCGCGAGCACGTCGCACGCCACCAGGCCCGACGTGCGCTTGAGCCCGGGAACCATCTGGAGGAGCGTCTCCTTCTCGTCGAAGGCGAGCTTCTGCTCGAGCACCACCTCGACCGGCTCGCCGGCCTGCAGCCGCCTCTTGAGGCCCTGCACGAACGGCATCGCCTTCTTCATCTCGCCCATCTTACCGATGCGTCCGTTGAGCTGCTTGTCGTCCGAGACGGACCGCCTGGCCGGGTCCCACATCTCGCGCAGCAGCGAGATGTACTTGGCCTGCCACTCCGGGAACTTGTCCGTCATGTAGACCGTCAGCTTCTTGGCCTTCTTGGGGTCGAACGACGTCTCCTTGCCCTTGGCCTTCTTCTTCAGCTGCTGCCCCTCGGCCGAGTTGACGTTGGACGCCGTGTTGCGCACGTAGTCGCGCTTGGCCGACAGCATCGGGTCCACCGCCCCCACCGCCGGGAACAGCGCCCGTCGCACGCTGCCCTGGTGGCCCAGGATCTCCAGCCACACGTGCTCGGACCAGTGCGGCGTGATGACCGACATCAGCAGCGCCTGCAGCTCCATGAACCGGAACACCAGATCGCGGTGCATCTTGATGCCCGCCGCCGCGCACGACTCGCGGTAGAAGTCGCGCGCCGTCGTCAGCTCGTACAGCGACGCCTTGAGCGCCAGCTTGTAGTTGGTCGCCACGTACTGGTCCGTGGCCTCGCGGCCCAGCGCGTTCATCTCGTTGCTGAACAGGGCGTCCTGGAAGCTGTTGAGCGTGTCGGCGCCCTGGCGCAGCTCGGCCTCGCTGCGCTTCATCTCCTCGAACCACTCGCGCAGGGTGAACAGGCGCAGGATGTTGTTGTCCGCCACGTCCTCCTCAAAGTTGGCGTCGTTGACGCCGTCGCCCGCGTCCGCCAGCGCGATCCGCGCCGCGTCGGCGCCGTACTTGGCCGTCATGTCGTGCAGCGTCATGAAGTTGCCCGTGCTCTTGCTCATCTTCTCGCCGTTGAGCATCAGGTGGCCGTTGGCGCGGATGCTGCGCGGCCAGTACTCGGGCGGGAAGATGGCCAGGTGCACGTACAGGAAGAAGGTCAGGTGGTTGGGGATCAGGTCCTTGCCCGACGTGCGCAGGTCCAGCGGGTAGAAGTACTCGAACTCGCGCCGCATGCTCTCCAGCGTCCCGCGCGGGATCTTGGACGCGCCGAGCACGTCGTCGCCCAGCTCGCGCCGGCAGAAGATGTAGTCCCACACCTCGTCCGTCATCTGCTCGGGCCCGATGTTGCCCCGGCCCTTCTCGCGGCCAAAGATGTCGTTGTGCAGGTAGTGCGCGATCGTGTAGTAGGCCATGTAGATGGTCGAGTCGCTCAGGGACTCCACCAGGAACTGCGTGTCCCACGGCAGCTTCGAGCCCAGCCCGAACGAGCGCGCGCACGCCCACTGGTTCAGCCAGTTGAGCACGCCCTCGAAGCTGTTCTTGGTCTCCGGGATGTACGTCTCGAGGCCCTTGCCGTCGGCATTCTCCACCCACTTGAGCGCCGTCTCCTTCCACGACGCCTCTCCGTAGTCCAGGTACCACTGGTCCATGAGCGACACGATGCACTCGTCGCCCGACCGGCTGACCACCTTCCTCTCCGGCTCCGAGTAGGCAAACGCCTCGCCCGCCTCGATCAGCTGCCTGCGCACCTTGGGCTTGGCCACCTCGACCTTCTCGCCCTTGAACTCGCCCACGACCATGGTGCCCTGGTAGAAGCCCTCCTTGTACGCCAGCTCCTTGGCCTCCTCCAGCTGCTTGGCATCCTTGGGCGACGCGATCTTGAGCTTCTGGACCAGGAACGGCGCGCATCGATCGCCGTACGAGGGCGTGTCGATGATGGCGGGCACCTCGAGCTCCGCCCACTCCTTCTTGATGCCGTAGTAGTCCGCCTTCTTGGCCAGATCCGTGACCGTGGCCCAGTCGTCGGGGCTGTCGGACGGCACCGACGTGACGACACCGGTTCCCTTGGTCGGGAGGACCGTCTCCATCGGCAGGACCCTCACGCCGTCCTTGTGCACCGAGAGGGGAGCGTTGACCAGGGAGCCCACCATGTCGGAGCCCACCACGTCGGCGGCCTTGTCGATGACGCCTTCCTTGGCGAAGACACCCTGGTACGCCATGTTGCGGGCGGCGCGCTCCGTCACGACGTAGTAGTCGGTCTCGTTGGCCTTGAAGACACCGTAGGTGATCTTGGGGCCGACGAAGCAGCAGGTCTGCCCGTACATCGTCTCGGGCCTCAGGGTGGCCGGCACCAGGTATACGTTGGCGCCCTCGGGCACCTTGCCCTCGAGGGCCTCGGCCGCCTTGGGGGCCCACTCCAGCACCCTGAGCCTCAGGGCCGTGTACTCCTGGGGGTTGACGGCCTCGCCCTCGGAGCGGTCATGGTCCATGCAGGGCTGGCCGTCCTTGATGGAGTAGATTGTGTACCTCTTGCCGAACTTGATCTTGTCCAGATCCTTGAGGCGGTTCATCTGCCAGCGCACAAAGGCGTCAAAGTAAGGGTTGGCGTCGGTGGTGACGAAGCTCCTGCGCCAGTCGACCCGGCAGCCAAAGTTGGTGAGGTCGCGCATCGTCAGAGGCGGGAAGTGCTCGAGCCAGTGCTGGGGGTCGGCGAAGAGGTGGATGTCCTCGAGGGGCACGCCCACGGCCTGCATGATCTGGAACTGGTACTGCATCTTGACCGTCTTGGCCGCGGCCTTGCCCTTCTTGGCCGTGAACTTGGTGGGGTCCTCCCTGGCCTGCTTGGCGACCGGCTTCTTGTCCTCGACGGGGGCGGCATCGTCGGGGTTGAAGCCGGAGAAGTCCTTGCCGAACATGGCAATCTCGTTGACCAGCTTGTCGGCGCACGCCTTGATGGGCATGCCCGTGCAGTGGAAGCCCATGGGGAACAGGGCCCGCTTGCCCTGCATGCTGGCCACGCCGGCGCCGAACTCGACCTTGCTGACGGAGAAGGAGTGGCCGGCGTGTAGGGTGCCGTTCATGTAGGGGAACGCCATGGTTCCGAACCACTTTGGCTGCTCCTCGCGCAGCTGGGCCGCCGGGATCGAATGGAGGGGCACCTCGGCCGTCGACGGTGCATCCGGCTCGAAGACGCCATCCTCCTTCCACTTGGCCTGGTATTTCTTCTCGATGGCGATGAGGGAGTCTCGCTTCTCCGTCCCCTTGAGCTCCTTGGTCTTGGAGATCTGGAGGTTCTCCATGGCCGCGGTTGCCATGATTGCGGCTGTACTGGCCCGGTGGACGCTGGCTGCGTTGTCGGCGAGCGGGGGTCTCGTCACGTCGTTGGCTTCGTTCTTTTCTTTTCCGTACACCCGCGTGTAGATGAGCGAGCGGAACCGGGAGTCTGTCGTCTTGGGACTATTCGCTCCCTCTCGTCGATGGATAATTCCTGAGTCACAAACGGCCTAAGGATCTCGGCTCACCTGTTTTTTTTCCCCCTTCTTTTTCTCTGAACGAAAGGAGGGGCGAAACTCCCAATGGCGGGGCACACGCACAGGGCAGGCGGGATAAAAGTGTGGCGGTGGTATTCTATACGTGGCGGTGCGTCAATGCGCCACACATCATCGTCCCTGTACGTACTCCGTACAGGTAGCAATACCGTACCCGTCCTCTTCCGTTCGCCAGTTCTCACGGTCAACACATGTCGCGCGAACCTGCCCATCCATCTCCGTCCGGCCAAGGAACAGAACATCAGAGACCTGGCCGTTTGCGCGCGCAATGTTTACCACAACGTCGAGGCGCCTCATCCAGGCGACGGCCAGGCTGTCGGCCAATGGCCGCCCCCCACTGACCATCCACAACAACCCATACAAGACCCGAAAAGTGTGGCCGCCCAACTTTGCCGAGCTGTCGCCGCAGCAGCAGCTCCGCTTCGAGAAGAAATACAAGCGCCGACTATACCTTGCGCATCATTCCGAGCGATGGGACAAGGGCGTTCGTCTCTTGCAGTTTGTCATGATTACAGGTTCGTCCCACAAGTTCCCCAGACGTGCCCCCCCCCCTCTCCCCCATCCTAAGCTTTCCCGGTCTGACCAAGCCACAGGCGCTGTCGTCTACGCCCTCTTCTTTGCTGAATTCGAGTGGTGGGGGAAAACGTACAAGCCATACGAGGAGGTGAGCTGCATTCTCGTACCTGACCCTCCGATTCTTCTGCTAATCATTGCATAGATTGTCCAGAAGACCGCTCGGCTGTTCGGCATTCTGGGCGAGGAGAAACGATACGAGCGAAGACTGGACGCGGGGCCGATCAATCCCAAGAAGCAGGAGAACTCGGATTCCAAGTAACAGCCAAGCAGGGGTTGGCATGTACTATAAGCAGAAGCTGTGCATATCCTGGCGTTGTGGTGTAGTGTTTCATCTCTTCATTCTGGCATATATATATATATATATATATATACCTCTGTATTATATGTACAATCGTGTTTCCTTTTCGTATATGTTCTCTGGAGAGAAGAGGGGAAAAAAAAGATATCAGGAAGGCAGCTCGAGCGACAGAGTGCTCTCCGGAGTACGTGTCTGTCCCGATTACCTCGCCGCCCAGGCAAAGTTGGCCCCCATGCCCAGCCCGGACCCGATCCCGCCGGCGCGCCCCTCGTTGACGGGCCGCTTCGCCACGGTCCCCTGCGCCTTGACGCCCGACACGATGCGGTCCAGCGCCGTCTCCACGACGACGCCGCCTATGATCATCTCGGACAGCGTGGCGTGCAGGGTCTCGAAGTTGAAGATGAGGTCTAGCTCGCACACGTTCTCGAACAGCTTGTCCAGCGCCTCGACGTACACCTGGATCAGGTCGATGAGGGCGAGGGGCGACTCGGTGGACGTGGAGATGATGATGAAGTAGAGCGTCGCGTAGTTGCGGTAGGTGACCAGGGACGGCACGTCCTTTTGCTCCTCGGACGACGAGTGCGATGTGCCCGAGGCGGCGAGGAGCGGGGGCAGAGGGAGGAAGTTGCACGCCCCCGACGGACGGTTCGATACCAGCGTGAAGATTTCGGATATGAGGCGCTGCTGGATGCTCGTCTCCTATAGGGAGGGGAGGATGGTTAGCTCAGCTGGTCATTGGCTTCCCTCAACTGTCGTGGTCCGTCGGTCGGTGTCGGTGGGGGTGTCGGTGGAGGGAAATACCAGTTGAGTGTAGAATTTGGTCAGACGCGGCTGGCCCTGGCCATTGAATACCAAGAATGCGTTGATCATCTTGGCAAGGCAGTAGCAGAAGCTGATTTTAAATCTCCCCTCGGCCTTGATATGTGATTGTCGTGAAGAAGGAAGAGTGGGTGGTGGATCGATGCTGAAGACGAAGCTCTCCCGCGAATGGTGGGGGGTGCGATTGATTGTCAGCAAAGGCCGCCCCAGAATTGACAAGTCACCCACGAATTGTGTCATCGGTCTTTTTGGCTTTCTTTCCCTGTAGCTCTCTATCTTTTTCTCCTGCGTACATATCAATTCTAATTCCTCTCCTTCCCTTCACCCACCAACATTATAGCTTTGCGGCTGATAGAAAGGACACGCAACTTCTCTTTCCTTCTCCTCCTCCTCTCGACTCACCCCAGAAACCACACAACCATGCCGCCATCACGTCTGTTGCAATCCTCGTCGCGACTCGCCTCGAAGGCCATCCGTGGCTCCTCATCTCGAATCTACCGACCTGCAGCGGCAGCGACGACATGGTTCCCCGACACCACCACGCTCCCCGGCCGATCCACCGCCACCGTCTCCTTCTTCTCGACGACCTCGCCTCGCGCCCAGGACCCAGCCGTCAACACGTCGCCCCTCTCGTCCGCCACTACCAACCCTGCAGTCACGCCCGTAGAGATGACGGACTCGGAGTACCACGCCGTGGCGGACGAGTACCTCGACCGCGCGCTTGCCAGGTTCGAAGAGGTCCAGGACCAGTCCGACGAGATTGACGTTGAGTACTCTGTAATCCACCCACTGTGTCTTTCTTTCCGTCGTTTCCCCTCCGGGAGTCACGTCACCATCAACACCGTCAGCATCCGCAGCGTCCATGGCTAATTACTGTGACATCCTTATCAAGTCCGGCGTCATGACCGTCCGAGTCCCCGAGAAGGGAACATACGTCATCAACAAGCAGCCTCCCAACAAGCAGATCTGGCTGTCCTCCCCCATCTCCGGCCCCAAGCGATACGACTGGTGCACCATTGGCAACGGACAGGCCGACAAGGAAGGTACCGGCACCATGGGTTGGGCGTACCTACGTGACGGTACGACGCTCAACCAGCTCATTCTCGAGGAGTTGGGTATGGATCTCGACCAGCCTCTCGATGGGTAGAGTCCTGGGCGGAGCACGGTCATGTCTGTGATCGCTTAGCCTCCCCTTCTTTTTTTTTTTCTAAAAAAAGAGAGAAAAAGAGAAAGAAAATCTCTCCCTTTCGCTTCTTGTTCTTCTTTGCTTTTATCCATCTTCTCTTTCCTTTGCGCAAATGTACCACTAGAGACTGCCCACGGAGGATGATGGGACAGTGGCTATTTTCTTTCCCTATTTTTCTTTTTACTCAAGCGGCATAGCATTCACCTCTCTCTCTCTCTCTCTTCTTCTACTTCTTCTTTTTTTTTCTTTTTTTTTTCTTTTGCTACTGTACAGCATAATACACTCTTCGGTGCCGACAACTTGTCCTTCCTGTTCCTTTTCCTCCCGTAATCATACAAACATGATCCGTGCCTACCGTAGACACAACCCCATGGTCTTATTCAGCATGGCAACAGTCATGTCGTACTGCTCAAACGCCGACTTCTCATAATCGCCCCAGGGATTCCTATCCAAGCGCGAAGGGGGAGTCAGTTCAGAGTGAGACGACACGACACCCCGAATCCACGCCTCTCCCGACGACGAGAGACGAGACGTACCTCTGCTTCTGCTGTGCGACGATCCTCTTCCACCCGGGCATGGAAGCCTGCCTCCTGAGCCTGACATCCACCAGATTCTTCAGAACCTTGTGCTCCAGCCCCCTCTCCTTGGCCGCCGCCTCGAGGAACCACACCGTCCGCTTGACGGCCTGGCCGTCGAGCTGCGCGCCCGGCTCGCGGAACGCCGAGCGCAGCTGGTCTCGCACCACGAAGCGCGCCGGCCGCGCGTGCTGCACGGCCCGGAGGACGGACCGGTACAGGCGACGGTAGGCGTGGATGACGTCTTGCCCCGGTGTTGCCATGATGTGCCGCTTCCCTTGCTTCCCTCCCCGTCTGTGTATTATTCGCTCTCTTCGGTTCGTCGTAGCGGCAGCAGGTATGATCCGTTGTTCTCTCATTTACCGACATCCGAGTGTTCGCTGTTTTCTGGTTTTTTTGGGGGTTTTTTTCATCAATATAATCGGAGGTTCGCGTTGCTCGCCGTGTCATGCCATGGTTTCCACCGTTGAGATTGATCGAGGTAATGTTTTCCGGATGTGTCAAATGCAATGTACCGAGCGGCCCTCCCCATAAAAGTAACTGGCTGGGCCACATGCAATAACACCCACACATCATACGAGCAGCAATACGAATATAGGTAATATACAACATGCTATCAGTCTATCCCAATCCTCTTTATATTCTTGTTTTTTTTAATATGTAGATCGTCAAGTATAGGTACAGAAATCTCCCACAGGAGTACAATATTTCGAGGACAATAACATCAATACCGGCCAAAAAAAATTAGAAATAAAAAATAGAAAGAAGTAGTAAGGGGGAAAACACTGATAGCACGAGCCATCACCAACGCCAGAGTCTATGTCCCTACGCTCTGCTCTTTCCCACAAAACTCGTCTCATGCTCTTTCCCACGCAACTCGTCTCACCCTTCACGCCGCGCTCAAGTCATATCTTTTGTCCTCTTCGCTGTGGTGTGTGACCCTGAGCTATCTGTGCTCTTCATATATGCACCGCTCAGCTCAGATAGAGGGCTACGTGAACAGCCCCTCCCAAGGCACAGCCTCTCTATATATAGTAGTTACTATGTCCTCTTTTCTCATCATCTCATCCAACACAGATAATCCCCATCTAGTTGCGGGGTTCATCCTGCCCACCGGATCCTTCCTCCTGCTGTCCCAGAGGAGCATACCTGCTTGACCCGCTGTAACCGCTATCGGTTCGTCCGCGGTTGACAGCCCGGGACAGCCAGGACTGAGACTTGGCACTGTCGACATCGGGATCGAGGGAAAGGTTGGGAATGGCACTGCTGCCGATGCCGCGACCGGAACCGATGGGCGAGCTGGGTCGGATGAGGGACCCCGTCTCGGCGCCGTGGACGGACGGTGTGCCCATGGTGCTGGCGTCGCCGAACAGGGAGCCCATTTCCTCGAGGCGGACACCGCACGTCTCGGGGTAGATGAAGTAGACTAGTGGTACGCACACGTCTGTTAGTTCCGTGGGGCACAGAGAGCAGAGACAAGTATTTTCGAGGCGAGGTGAACATACCAACGACGAAACTGACGACGCAGAAGAAGGCGTGGACGAGGTACAGACGCCACTTGATCCACTCCTGCAGGATCGGCGTCATCTCGCCGACCAGCCAGTTGAAGGCCCAGTTGGTGGCCGTCGACAGACTGGCACCCTTGGAGCGGATGCTGAGCGGCAGGATCTCGGGGGGGTAGAGCCAGGGGATGGGGCCCCAAGAGTACCCGAAGGCAGCGTTGTAGATCATGACGAAGAGAACGACCATGCGCGGGGTCCAGGCAATGTCCAGATAGATGAAGTACGAGATGAGCGAGAGGGAGATTGTCATGGCGACGGCGCCGCTGAGGAGTATCACGCGCCGACCCCACCGGTCGACCAGGTACCAAGGCGGGATGGTGGAGAGGAAGTAGGTGATGCCGTTGAGGCCCGTCATCAGCACGGCGTCGTGGCCGACCCAGCCGGCCGACTCGAACACGTAGGGCGCGTAGTAGGAGATGACGTTGATGCCGTTGAGCTGGGCCAGACCCTGGGCCGACATGGCGATGAAGACGCGCGTCCGGTAGCGGCGGAACATTTCGACGTAGGACCGCTCGCCTTCCTGGCGCTGGATGAGCACATCCATCTTGATCTCGCGGTATTCGTCACGGGCCTTGGCATCGTGGATGTCGCCGCCGCCGTAGAGGTTGGCAATCACGACCATGCCTTCCTCGTCGTGATCATTGTCGAGGAGCCATCTTGAACGAGGATCAGTTAGTCAGGATGCCACGCACGCACACGAGGTTCACTTGACGAGGGGAATCTCTACCTCGGGGATTCGACGATGATGAGGCTGCCGAGGCCAAGGAGGACCCCCATGACGCACTGCATGAAGAGCGGGATACGCCAGGAGTAGTTGTTCTCGATGAAGCCGCAGCCGTAGTCGACCCAGACGGACGTAGTATAGCCAATGATGTTGCCCGAGAACTCAATGCAGGCAAGCTTGCCGCGGTTGTGTGGTGGGGAGATCTCGGATTGGTAGACTGGCACGATGGTAGTCAGGGCACCGACACCGAACCCGGCAATGATGCGGCCGGTCATCATCATGGTCATGTTGAGGGCGAGAGTCTGCAGGGCACCTCCGACGAAGAAGACGCAGGAGCCGTACAGAATGGTCCGGCGGCGTCCGATGACGTCGCCGATGCGGCCGACGACAAGGGAGGAGATGAAGGCGCCGATCTCCAGGATGGCCACCATGGTGCCCACGTGGGCCTTGGACGGATGATCAAAGTAATCGACAAAGTACGGGCCACTGCCATCAACACACACACAACGTCAGCCCTACAGAACACATGCGACCAGGCAGAGCGAGCTGCAGACGAAGCAGATGCTGGGGAAGGGGAGCATACGTTATGATACCCGACATGACACCCTGGTCATATCCAAAGAGGAAGACACCCAGCGACACAAAGATGCTGGTGAAATATCTGGGGTTCGCAGAAGAGTCAGCGGGAGGAGGCAGGGAGCCACGGCAGTGGGGTGTACACTATTGGGGGAGGGGAGGGGAGGGGAGGGGAGGGGATGGGGTCTACTCACATCAGGGCCTTGCCCGTGAGGCCGTGGATGGCCCCCGTGCGTCCAGACATGATAAGGCCGAAGAATCGGGAGGACAGGGTAGGCGGTGGTATGATGACGTCGGGGACTTCAATGTCCTTTAGATCTTGGGGAACCGGAGACGAGTAGTACGAATATCGAGTAGGCGAGCCACCATGAATGCGGACCTTTTTGTGGGAACCGCCACGATTGTGACGTCTGTCGAGGCCGGCAAGAAGCTCGTCCTCGATGTCTTCGGAGAGCTGCAGTCGGACTGGATCGTCGTCGGAGTCGCCTTTCTGCTCACCGATGTCACCGGTATCGGTCCAGGAAGACTCGGAGTCGGACGAGAGCGAGTGGCGGGTTTGCGGATCGTGGTCGTGAGGTTGGAAGCCGTGCCCCTGATGGGAGGCTAGGAGTGATGTCGACGCAGAGTCGGCGTCTTGGTAGCTGTGGTAGCCAGAGGCAGAACGTGAAGGTAATGTACGGAGGGGGATGTTGGAAGGGATACGGGGAGCCTTTGAAGGAGGAATGGTGGATGGTTTCGGGGGCTGATAAGCAGCAGCACCCTCCTGCGAAGAATTCGGCGGGTTGGGGGGGGGGGAGGAGAAGAGTTTAAAGAGGAGTGGAAAGGCCGGCCTAATCGTGTATTGAATGTACCGACAAGGAGGGAGAGAGAAGTGAAATCGGAGTGTGTGTGACTCTCGGTTGGTTATGGACGGGACTGCGGAGAAAGAATTATGGGGCCCCGTGACGGTGACGACACAGACGTCAATCAGGGTCTCGGTTTCTGATGGTCGTGCACTCTGCTGCTCAGCCGGGGCTGGGCTGCTTCGATCCTGGCTGCAGTGTCTGAATGCAAGTGGTGCTCAGCAGGTATGGGCCGATGATTTGGGTAGCGGTCACTGCTAGGTAGTGCCGCCAGCTGATGCTGAAGGATCAGGGCACCGGTCTCTCTCGCTGCGAAGTGAGAGTGGGAGCTGCGTCGAGCTGCGTTGTTCGTATGGAGCCTGTGGCGAGGCCCGATAACAGCACAGTGCGGTGACAGTCTGGGAATGAGCCCAAGCATGCAACTCGTACGAGACGTCGTATTACTCGTAGTAATGATACTGGTAATACATGCAATCGTGTTACTACTTGTAGCAAACCGAGCCGAGGACCAAGAGGATGGAGGCCTGGCTTGGAGAGTCGATGTACCGTAAGAGCAGTTCTCTTTCGAGGCACGCACGCACGCAGGAAGAAAAATGTCCAAGGTACCGGTAAGTCGAAAAAAAGGAGAGCAGATGACCACGAACTGCAGTTGCCCCGGACAAGGCAAGACACTCTCCTGGTCTGGGGAAAGCGGAGAGAGAAGGTGCACGCGCTCAAAAAGAAGGGGTGTGTGTGTCTGTCAGGAGATGCGCGTCGTTGGTGGGTATGGGCGTGCGGTCAGAGAGTTCCGACGATGAAGAGTTTGTGGTGAAGAGAGGATCAAGAGCAACTGCGCCAAAGACAGAAAGAAAGCATGAGTCAACGTGTTGAGAAGAAAGAAAAGGCCTATGAATGAGCGTGAGGAAAGAAAGAAGCAGCTTAGATGAAGAAGAAGGGTGAGACAGGTTTCACGTCGAAAGGGTATGGGAAAAGGGAAGAGCACAACTTGGCTTCTTTTCGCTCACTGACCGAGCCACTGAGCCCAAGTAATACTGTAGCAATAACAGGCGGGAGAGCGAGCTTTCCGGGATTCAGGAGAGCGGACTGGTAGTTTTTCCAGGCTGCCCCCTCCCCCGGGGGTGGAGTTTTTGGGGGGGAGGG